TCAGGGCCCCATGAGGGGGAATGCCCATTGGAATCCATCCCAATGAACAGCCACGGGGAGATGGCGAGGGCATTGGACGTGGCATGGTACAACTTCTGAAGTCCCATCGCTGTAGACGACTGAATGTATGCGGATAGAAGTCCCACCCGACGTGTACCCCATTTCAGCATGACCCCTGTCACCCGGGGAGATGAAATCCCCATATTCCAGGCAGAAATATTCCTTGCCACCAACACCGCTGTAGTCTTCGGGGAGGCGCTCTGACCGACACTGAGAAATTTCTGAAATCCATTGAATGAGGCTTGAGAAGCCGCGAGGGCTGTCGGAATGTCCTGGAGTAGTAGTACGTCAATGTCATGAGTTCTGGCGTAGTCCGTGATGATTTGTAGACTTAAAAAAGCTGCGACATAGATTGTAATGGATGACCTGAAGTCCACGAGATTGGGGTGATGTAAAAGAGTCCCCCAGCCCCCCAACAGCCTCCTCTCGGATCATGGCTGGGATGGAGCGCCACGCGCTCCAGACGGGTTGCGCAAGGTAGGAGCAGTCTGACTAGACGTGGTTGGCCCACTGGAGGAGGGGGAGTTCCCTGGTCGTTCAGCTCGATGAGGGCAGTCATGGGTTTCATGCGAGCCCTGAGAACCGCAGGTGCGACAGCAGGCCGCACCTCGGCAAAACTTCGCGAGGTGACCCTGCATCTTGCACCTAAAACACGTCGGACAAGTGGAGGTGAACGGTGACACCTCATGAGAATGAAGGTTGAACACGATGGATCCCAGCGAAATGATCTTGGCCACAAGTTCTGGGTCCGCAGTGATCTTCACTGAAGCCGCAGGGGCCCACGAGCCTGCCTGAGGGCCGTGAGACAAATGGCATTGGAGGCGGGTAGCACCGCGGAGCCGTGTCACGAGATCGGTCATTTGCATGTCCAGCCTGTGAGCGTTGGATAACGAGATGTCCTGTAAAATGCTGGTAATGGGCTGATCGACCCGTACACCGTGGATCACGAAGCAGTTACGGTGGACTCGTTGGTCCCCGGTGGATGAGATGTGTGCTTCAGTCGATGAATGGGTGTCAGACTGGAGTGGATGACATTTCCAGACCTCGCCGTTCGCCATCTTGAGGTGTGACAACCGTCGTACCGCTGGGGCCAATGAGGGATGGACCTGAATGGTGTAACCTCCCTTGGCTGTCCGACGTGCCAGCTCCAGGGAAATCTGAGGATGGTGAGGCAGGGCGGAGGACAGCGCCGCCTCTGCGCACCTCGCGAAGCCCGGAATGTCTGACGGAAGAGTGCGCATGCACTCGGTAGGGGGGTGGAGAGTCACGCAGCGATCAGGGGTCCATGCGGTGGAAGGCTTGGGCTGCTGTGCCTCACGAGGGCGGCCTTGCGGAAGACCTGACCGGGTGGAGGAAGCGTGTAAGGTCGTCCGCTGGCGCTGGATGGGGGGTGATGTGCTAGCCAATCTAAACGCGCCCGTGGCACGTAGGGCCTCCGCCGCAGCCAGACCAGCCCTTGCGGCGCGAAGCTCCACCGCCAAGGGGCCGGCAGCCTCCGCGAGGCCCACCAGTGAACGAGCCGCCGGGGTGGAAGGGTCGGAGGTGGCATGGGCGTCCTTGATAGCCCCGTGTAGAAGCGCCATTGTGCGATCCAGAAGGTCGCAAAGACCCTGAGAGGCTGGGGCGCCTGACTGAGGGGGATGAGGATGCTCGCGGTGATCCTGTGTCCCGGCAGCAGCGGCCGCGTATGATCGAGGAGGTCGTGGAGGAGGATTCTTAGAGGACGTTGGGATGCTCGCCTGCTGCTGTGGCGTTGAGGCGTGGGGAGGTGAGACATTCCGCGTGGAGCGGCTGCGCTTGGAGCGATGAGAGGGTAGAGCCTGGCGAGGGGAGCCGCTATCGGAGGTGGCAACAGGGAGATGCTCTGTGCCTGGAGAAGGGGGAGGGGCGGCCTGACAGGGGGCCATGGTCATCGAGCGCATGCGGCGCTCATGTGCGTGTAACAGGCGAGCTACCAGCACTCGCTTCGCTTCGTGATCGTTGCCCGGAAGGCCCAGCGCATGCACGAAATCCAGCAATTTCTGCTTGAGCTCTTTAGATAGGCGCCGTTGAAGATCAACTGAGTCGACCGCGTCGATGCCCATTGCTAAAAATTCCGCTTCGCTCGCTGCCAAATCTGGGCGCTGGGGGGAGGGCCTCCGCGATTGAGAGGGCCCGGCCTTGGATGGCGAAACGCGGGGGGACGCGCTGGCAGCTCGTTTGGCAATCCGCAGTGCGTCCAGCTCCATGGCATCGCTGGCCGATTGGGCCTCCCCATCCTGAGCTTGCGCATCATCCGCTTGGACGCCTGGCGCGCTGTACGATGCTAGCGGTGCGAAAATGTTGGAGATGGGAACTGCATCCACCGGGCTCGATGGGCGTCGGGCGGAGGAAGGCGGCGAGTGCCATACCACGACCTGATCATCGTCGCCATGAGGGGCCTCTCCGGGAGGGGGGCTGCTGGGCACGGGAATGCCAGAAACGGGCTTGCGCGCACCTGCGGTAGGCGCAGACTTCGAAGGGCTCCTGCCCATGGTCCGCGCGAGACCAGGGAGCCGGGCGGCAGCTCGAGGCAGCAGTGAAGGCCTTGCACAACGTCCCCCGCTGGCTTGAGTTGGCGAGCCGCGAAAGCCCCAAAGAGGGGGCGGGAAGACGCGAGAAGGCCGCAGAGCTCGCCTTCTTGAACCGTGAGCGAAGGGAGAGCGTCGAGGGCCTCTTGGAGCCCTCGGCCAGCCAGCGGCGAGGCGGGGAACCACCGCGCGGGCGTGGAGCGAGCGAAGTTGGCATCAGGGAGGGGGAGGGAGTGGTCGTGTGTGTCGTGTGTGTGTGTGTGTGTGTGTGTGTGTGTGCAAACGACTGATTGTGTTGTTTGGTGCTTATGAGTTCGTGTGCATTTGGATAGCAGCGTTGTGTGCAGTATGCGGCAGTAATGTTGAGCCCTGAAAAATAATTTGCTGACTTCTGGTGGTGATGTAGGAGTACGCACCTGAAGTAGTAATTGGGGAGAGTGTCGAATATGGAGCCTAAATCCATGCATTATAGTACAAGATAGTGGCCGCAATGTGAGAAGATCCGAACGGAAGTGATTGAAACAAGAAGAGGGGCGTCAAAATGGAGTGAGAGGCGTTCATACAGCTAGGATCGCCAAGCACAGTGGATCTGATCCACTATGAAAATTGACGTAATTCATGTGAATTTTTAGATTTACAACCAACTGGTTGTATAGCATCTTGCAACAGACACTTCCGACAGTGGGGGAGAGTTTCAAATGATAAGAGAGGGGTTCAAAATATTTGAAGAATTTGAATAATGAATATATAGAAATGAGCGGGATTCTTCAGAGAAATGTGGGCGAAGTAGACATGCATTCTGATGCTGCGATGTCAATTGCTAGGTGCTTGCAAAAGTGACTAACCTGATGAATTCTGAGGTCGCTAAGTGTTTCCCTGGTACGGGTACGTTGGTGTCCATGCCCAAGGCTTGAAAAATGGGCATTTCATCCAAAACCTAATCATCGTATAGATAATTGTCTGTGCCAAATTATGACGTTTTATCAATGATTGAATCATTGCAAATAGATGAAATTTACCCTTTCTGAAAATATAGATCATTGTACAATTTGCGCAAGTACATGCAAGAAAATCTGATGAAGACGAAGCAGTGACTGGCAGAGAAAGGCAAATGCTTTAGGCGCAAGTCCTAGGGATTTTAGATTGGAAAAAGCGAGCGCAAGCTCATATTAAACCTCTGGGGTGACACGATGATCCACATATGCTCTCTTTTCAGTCAAATTCAGCGCCCACAGCACTGCAGTAACTGCAATACATTCGTGTCTAATTCCAATGGACAACCTCACTTCCCAGAAGGGTTGAGGCACTCCACCATCGCAGCATCATTCAGCTCAATGCTGAATTGCTTTACTTGCATAATACTAGTGGCAAGTCGTCAATCGCAACTCCTAGTAAAATTAAATCACCAACACCATGGAGCAGTGTAGCCCCGCATGGCCGACGCTTCAGCCACTGCAGTGAACCTGACATGCACAGCGGCTTGTCTTTATGTTCACTGGCACCAGCGGTATTTGCGCAACCTGAACAGCACAAACCGGTGTCAAACGCAGGCTTGAGGAGCTCAACATTCTACCTCGATAGATGTATTCACTTGATGTTCGGGGTATATTGATTTGTTGGTGCGCATTCTGCAGCCATACTTGGATTGCGAAATGTGAAGGTCCGCAGAAAGTCCGTAACAGGAATTTCTGGGCATCAATGACGAGCCACAGTTTCTGGCGCACATCTTGAACTTCTACAGTGACACAGCCGATGTCACAACATAGTGTTTAATTGCCAACTGAAGCGCGTTGCCACCAGAGATTCGGCGGTGAGTGGTCACAACAAGCAGCGGACGATGCGACTGGCAATTGGCTAAACGCGGCAAATGAGGTGACGAGATTATGCAATGACGAGATGATGGGACGCATAGAGTCCACGCATCACCACACCATTCGCCTCCCGTTCGCTCGCACACCGGGGCCACGGCGACCGCGCGGAAGGGTACTCACTTGCTGTCCTGCCACACGTAGGTTCCCTTGCACTGGTTCACGGGCGTGCAGCGCCTGCCGTCCTTGCTGAGCCTGCAGGGGATGCTGTGGCCCTTGCTCTTGTACTGGCACCAGCCGCAGCCCTTCAAGCCGGACTGGGCCTTGCACGACTTCAGGTTCCAGCAGGGGTGGCTGCACTTATCTCCGTACTTGTGGAGGCTGCCACGACATCCCACGCACATGCCAACATCAAAGACGGCTCGTGTACGGCCACCAGGCAGGGTGGTCAGGTGGCGACACCTTTGCGAGTTCATGAACTCGTTGCTGATCAGCAACGGCAGTTTGCAGCAGTTCCGTGTCTGAGAGCAGACAGCTGCTGTATCAATGCCTACGCGGTGCATCCGCCAATCCATAAACTCACTCCGCATCCCTCCAGTAGTACTCCCCGGGGCAGTACGCCACCGGCGTGCAGGAGCCGTCCTTCCCCCTGTAGCAAGGGAGGGACCAGCCTGTGGCGGGGTGGCCCTTCACGTAGCACCACCCGCAGTTCTCGATGCCCGCCTGATCCCAGCAGTACTTGAGGTCCCGGCAGGTATCGTAAGGCCTCACGGCGTGCTTGGTGCACATGTCGGGGTAGTCGCCCATCCTGCGGCAGGAATTGGACCCAGGTCAGATATCAGAAGCAACACCCATTGATAGTCGAAACGTCGCAATGATGTGCGCTTTCCACGCAGCAGCCAATGAGCTATGGGGTACCCTCAGCGCCCTGAGCCGCCCTCTTGACAAGCCATTGGGCTCAGGATCTCCCTCAACAAATCGATTGCGTTGAAAGCCCCTACCACGACACCAAAGCGCCCTCAGCGGCGACATGCACTCACTTGCCGTCATCCCAGATGTACTTCCCGGCGCAGGGCTTCACAGGCTTACAGGGTCCTCCCTTGTAGTCCCTCTTGCACGGGATCCCGTAACCCTTGTTGGGGTGGCCCGCGACGTAGCACCAGCCGCAGTCCTTGACGCCCGCCTGGGCATGGCAGTAGGGCAGCCGGTAGCACTTGTAGTCCTCGAAGGTGGCCTGAGCAGTTGGGGGCAGCAACGTCAGAGAGGGGCTTCCAAGGTCGCCGATGGGCGCGAGTTTTGGGGCATTGCGAGCGGCGGATTCTGGTGCCAATTGCAACGATTGAGAAGAAAGTTCCTCACCTCAGATGTGGAAGCGAGGGCCAGGGCGCAAGCCACCAGCAGCAGTGGTCCAAGGAGCTTCATCTCGACGTCCGTTCGATCCAAAGCTGCCGACGGCGCGTGTGGGGCGCAAGGTGGTGTATCGCCGGAGGCCCGGAAGGGTCGCGTTTGGCTCCAGAGAGCGGGCCCAGTATTTATAAGGGAGGGCACGCGGGGCACGAGCTTCAGGGGCAGAACACGCTGGCGCCGGCATCCAATTGTGTGGCCGCAGGGCAACGCCAACCCTGGGGTAATGCATGGTGACGACAGAAGTTCACCGTGCTCATCAGGAAGTTCCAAGCATTGCATGAATATAGATTCGGTGCTGTTGAGTATGAAATTTCCATACCTTCAGAGGGTGTACGTGTGTGTGGTGCCAGCGGGGGATTTCGTATGACTGCGTGGTCCCGCGTGGCGCGGCCAACGGGGGTGGGGTCATGACTGTCCCTCATCAGGGGGTTGTGCCGTGACCAAGCAACCTTGGTCACGCGCTGGTCTGTGGTGATGGAGGTGCGAATACCGCCCAAGTGCCCTGCCTTCCATCCGGAGCTTCGGAATGCGAGAGAGGGGTACTGCAGGTCCAATGGGCCCGGTAGTGTTCATGGCACAACCGTGGTGTTCATGGCGCAATACGTCAGCCTGACTTCGACGACGGGTGCCATACAGTGGAAAGGTTCACGCGCAAGTGTCGTGGGCCACCAGCCAACGCCAAAGGACAACGAAACAGAAGTTGTCCCTGAGGACAGCAATATGATGGGCGGAAGCAGGACGGAAGCGCATGAGTGTGCACACTCTGCCATTGCACATGTGAGTTGTGAGTCAGCCGTGGACAGCAAACTCGTTTGTACCTAATGTTTTAAATACCCTGAAAATTCTAGCAAGCTTCCCGTTTCTGCTTGAGGGAGTGCTGGAGCTGTGCATGAAAGGAGATGAACTAGCTGCTGTGAGACATTGCATTGTTTATGCTAGTGGCACAATCACGTTGAAAGTGGTCGACCTAGCTACAAGGTTATTAGAGGGTGTACGAGTGATCTCTCAAGCACCATAATTTTGGGGACAGGCTGCAGCGATGTGGCGCGTCAGAACCTTGTGCCTTGGATGGGGTGGGCAGGAGAGTGGCACTAACGCGTAAGGAGATTCTTATCTGTACGACATAAAAATGTTAACACGTCGCCCTTTCCTTGGAAAGGGATCCAAGCCATATAAATCCCCATCAAACAGGTTGGCATTAATGCCATCACTTTGTTCCACCTAGGGGATCCCGTGTCTACGGACACCAATACCGTGATGCAACGATACAGAAGTTAGGACCCTGGTTGTATCAGGTTTGTTAGTTACGTTTATGTCACCATTTTTACGCTTTAGATCTCACCCGTAAGCGCGCAAACACAGATGTGCTCATTTTTATATTTATTTATAAGTACTTTCATGTGTTTAAGTGCATAAAAACGACACAATTGTTTCTCAAGCAAAATAAGGGAAACTCGCCACTTTTGCGCCGGAAGACCAAGCCTGCTGATGAACATTTGTAAGCTAGCCCAAATAGTTTGGTGCTTGTTAATGTCATTGAAATGTAAAATATGTTATAATTCCATACACATGGCCATAATAACCGCCATTTTGGAGTGCCAGACGGTGGCAACCTCTTCGAACATATACATTTAGAAGTGCCTGATGTCGAGGGCAGTATCGCTCGCTCTCTTTTCTAGGTGTTGTTTCAGCATTCTCATCAGGGATATTTCTGAACAGGGCTCATGGAAATGGTGAGGCTGTCACCCATAATACGGCCAGGTTATAACTTAATTAGGAAAACCAGGCTTGGTTTTTACGCCGTAAAAACTGATCGTATTTACGTTTTTACGCGTAAAAATAGTTTTTACGTTTTTACGCGTAAAAATGCGTAAAAATACGTAAATACAACGTAAAAACTGCTTGGTGTACATAAGGACAGTACATGCAGATTTACAGAGTCCGGAGAGTGGCATCCAGACGCTTTGGAAGAGGCAGAAGACGAGTTTTTGTTGAACGTCATTATCGCCCTTGCCAAGGGCGAGGTGGACGTTGTGTTGAGGGTGTTGCAGATGGTGGAGGACTGATCATTATAGGCAACTTTTGTCGTGTAAACTGCGTGTGCCAGGGAGCCGTAAAAACGTAAAAACAGCCGTAAAAATAGGACCTTTTGCAAATTTACGTTTTTACACGTAAAAACGTAAAAGTAAAAACGTAAACGTAAATGTAAAAACCAAGCCTGAGGAAAACGCATAATTGAGCGTTGTCATTGCGACGGTAAGTCGTTATGATCCAGCCTGCAGGTGTCATCATGACAGCTGTCATCAGCATTTCTGTCTTGCAGAATATTTTGATTTATTTAAATAAATTGATGGGCTGAGATGGGCTGAAACCTAATTTGTACAGGCTTGATTCCCACTTGCAACGGAGGCATATAGTTAAGAAAATGTATCAGCACTGCTCCTTTTTTTCACTTTAGAGAAAATTTCCTCTAAAGTGCAAAGTGGCCTGATGCATTTTCTTAACTATTTGCCTCCGCTGCAAGTGGGAATCAAGCTGGGCCAAATTGGGTCTCAGCCCATTGAAAATCTGTTAAATTCCTAAAGGCAGGCAGGCATGTTCTTTTTGGAGTTCCATTTCCACGTATTCGTTTGCTACTGAATGCCTGTGGCCATCTCTTTCAAAACAGTTGAGCCATTAATACTTGCGAAAAACCAGTTTCAGGGGCATAGATCACTAGGAAAAAAAGGGCCAAATAACACTTTTGCGAACACACATAAAACACATTTTATCATAATTTTACACGCCAAGAACACAAAAGTAACACAAACCCGTAAACTTCGTACACGTTTGAACACGTGTTATTTGGCCCTTTTTTTTCCTAGTGTATATCAGTGATAGCCACAGTGAGATATCACTGGTGACGTCGACGCCCGATTTCTGGCTGGCCAGTCTCAGGGTATAGTGGTGAACATGGAATTCGCCCTGAAGCTTGCCACGAATTCATGTGTAGGACCACATCTGAACGATACTTTTTCTCAGAAGTATCTAGTCAGAATGCTGAATGCCCTGGGATCTCTTCGCACACTGTTGGAAATGAAAATTTGCATCGAGCGAGGTCCAATGTCCATATCCATGGAATTACTTCATTTTGCAAATCAAATTTCAGCCCCCGTCGCAGATTGTACTTCTAGTAAGAAGTATTATGAAGTGTGAATTTTAGTCACACCGAGTGAATGCGATCTTGCTTCTGCTTCTGTTGACTTGGCACAATCCATAAATATTTTGTTATCAGCATCTCCAAATGCACCCAACCCGCATCAGCATAAGGCGGGAAAATCCCACATGATGTGCGGCACCCATGCCATTCTAATCTAACTTCGTAATCAGATGCAGAACGCGAAGCTGCGGAGCCTGTTGAACACAGACAAGATATCAGTTCCTTGGATTTTCTCTACATGGCAATACATGACTCTGCAATAATCGACACAACTACAAATTGCAATGTGGAAAACATTTCTGAATTTTCTCTGAGCTCAACTCCAGGCATTCCAATACATTCACGTGTAGGAGAATTACTTCTGTTTGCGGCACCTGCGTGCGTCACACAATGCACTTCTGCAAATATCTAGTAGCAAGACAGAAGATCTGAAAAGACATGGCATGCTGAGGGTCAGATGCACTTGTACATAATTAGTTTGGGAAATATTAATCCTTGTAATCCGTTGATTTACACTAGCACTGCATACACGAAATTACAATACTTTTTCATGCCGTTGTAATTATGGAAACAAAACAACGCATCAGGATGTCAATGTATTTTCACCATATATTGAGTGCGTCTCGTACTCAGAGCAGAATAAAAATGAAATATAATGTAAAAGTCAAGCCCCAAAGTCTCTCAGTGTCTGCGCACACACAAACCACAGTCTCCAATATCATTGTTTCATTGGATCTTTTTTCAATCCTTTACATATTGACCCATGATGTGCAGTAAGAAGACCGATCTCGATTTAATATGGTTTTACGTTCTACAATACCATATATGAAAATTATGAACGTTTGAACTACGTACAGCCTCTCGAAGTGGACCCAGTGAAACGGCGGTGTATCGCTCTCTCACCTGTTGTCTCGCCATACATATGTCCCTGAGCATTTCTGGATGGGGTTGCACCGCGAGCCACCGGAGGCCGACCTGCAGGGAATGCCGAAGCCCTTCTGCGTTCCTTGACACCAGCCGCATCCCTCTATCCCAGATTGAGAGGCGCAAGTGCGGATGTTCCAGCAAGGGTGGGTGCACTTCTGTCCGTATTTATGGAGACTGCGAAACACAGCCACGTCGTCTCTCGTACCGAAATGATCGCATTATGGCAATCAATGATACGCTCAACGATACTAACAGGACATCTACTATGCAGTCATTGAAATAGACTACATGCTAGAAAAAAGATATCGCGTCCGAACTTGTTTCAGGAGAGTTGCAAACAAGAATTGAAGTAAGCGTGCTGCTAGTTGACCCGGGTACAGTGTGCAATGGCAGCCATTCATTCTGGCGTCTTTGAGTGCCTTCACATGTCGGAAAGTGGATTTCCGTAGCACCATTTCCTTCCAGTTTCAGAGGCTGGAAGCATCATGCTTTTGTTCAATGCGAGATCTTTGTGCGTGATTGAGGCCAGGTGTATCAAATATAACATGTTCGGATTCCCATGGCTCCCCGTCCGGTCTTGAGAGCATTATTGACTAAACCGAGTTACTCGCGAAGACGTAGCAAGCCAATTGAAATAGTCAAACTGGCGCTCAGCTCACGAACACTAAGACAGGACATTACACATGCACCATTGACAACTG